ACCATGCAGGGCAATAGTATTGGATGCTGTCACTGGTTTCTAGCTGCTTGTAGAGACATCCAGAAATTCTGTGCTGGAATTCAGATCTCATAGGAATAGCTAGACTATAGAAAACCAAGCCAGCTTAGTGGCCATACAATGACTAAGAAGTGTTCTCTGCAACTAAAGTGAACACGTGGCTTATGAAACACTGAAAGCAGTTACCACTTTTGCCACTATTGCAATAGTTTCTAACATTTTATTCTGGGCTGTTGTATATATTGCCATGTATGATTTGTGTCTTCATTAAAAGCAAATTGTTTTTTTTTTTTCCTCTTCACTCTCATTTCCAAAAGAATCTGAACTGAATTTATTGTGTCTTCTGCAAAGCTGATTTTGACGTTAGATTTACACTGGTAGCAGATACCTAATGGGCAGTATAAATATTTTCCAAGTCATAAATAATAATTCTTTCATAAATAAAATGTCTTAATGAATAGCTGTATATTTTGAATCATGTAATTTTCTTGGAAGTGGAATTCTAAAGTGAATAAAGCATTATATTTTTACGACTTCAGGTCTTTTTATTTCAGATGTGAGTATACTCTATAAACACAGCCTTATGTATGGCATAAATATGTTTCTTTTATTGGATTTGCTGTAGAAATGGAAACCTTTTTTTGCTTAAATCTGTTTGTTCCTGAATTGTAAAAATGTAATAGTGATAGTTTATTGCCTGTGCTCTGTGAATGCAGAGGCAGAGCTATTAGGCTCCCAGCGGGAGCTATTTATAGCTTGACATTGAGTACTCCTTTCTATATCGGTGCAGCTGCACCTACTCACACAAAAAGTCAGCTATAAAATACTTCGAGTATTTCTTTTTTCTTTCTCTTTTTACCTTATCCTTATTCACGTGGGTGTTACTTCAGGTTATTTGAGTTCAAGCCAGAAAGACCAGAATATTACTGAGAAGAGATTAATCTTGCACAACTAAGGAAAGAAATAGTCTGCCCAGTTTTTCTTTTACATGGATGAACTGTTTAATACAGGAAGGGAAGAGATTATATGAGGGACAGGAGCATGTACATGGAGTGGGATTTTCTGACAAGCTGGCAGTTGTATAGTGTGCAGTTGTCCAAGAGTATGAGGTTATATGTTATGATATGAAGAAGTAAAACGGTGCAATGGATCTGAGGACAGAAGAGCAAGGGAATAACACACACATGCTGTCCAAGTGTCTGAATAAAGGTGGCCATATATGAAAGCTTAATAAGGAATGTTTTCAACAGTCATATTTAGCCTTGATGTTTCCATAGAAAGGATGGAAGATGACCACCAACAGTAATGTTTTCTCACTTGTTCTAGACTTTCAGTATTCCTTTTTATATATTTATATATTTATGTGGTGTTTAGAAAAGCGGGTTTCTGATCTCAGTAGGGGATTCTAGGTCCTTTAGTGATGCAGATAATGACAGCTGATCCATAGTCAAATTTGTTAGTATCTTTTATTTTGCTTTTAAAGAACTCATAATATTAGGTAAAGGTTATGTTTTTGTAGTGACTCCTTTGGTTTCCTCAGTACAAGGTTATGTTGTGTCCCATATTCTGCATTTCCAGCTCTTAAAACTCTTGTGTCTTCATGTATGTATGTGTGTGTCTGAACCAGGCCACATGTGGCAACTACAGTGGTTACTCTGTGTAATAGCATAAACAGTAGACTTCAACTGTCACCTCAGAATTGATGGAGCACAAGGACCCTACATTCAGGGTTTACATTCATGACCCTACCTATCAGGTTTAATACCTGTTAACTATTTTCCAGTGTGGTCCATTTAATCCATTTAACTAATTATTATACTGATACTATTGAAGAGGTGATGGCTTCATTTTGTTTTCAGCAGTTACGGATTTCCTTGTTAGACTTTCCTTAACAATCTAATGATCAAGATAATTCTGATTTTCTTAAATGTATTTCTGTGTTACTTGGGACGTGATGGAGCTTTTTATATCCATATCCATCTGTCTGTATACTTTCTAAGAGTGCTTAACTGGAGTTATTTTTATGTCCTTATGGATGGAGTATGTATCTAAAATATTTAAAATCACACTGAGTGGGAGGAAATTGTTTGGTTTTTACAATTCAGTAAAATACTGGGTTTATGTTTCATGGTTTATCATTGATGTAATTATTCTGATAGGTATAAATTATTTGTGCAGTTCAGTGTGAGTTTATATTGCTGCTCTACTTATGATTGAAGAATAAGAGAAAAGCCATTTAATGCTGGATATTAAAAATGTAAAAAATCAAACGTTCTTACGACGACAGACATTTGTTACTCCTTTTTTCTTTTTTTTGTCTAGTCAGCTTGCTACACTGTCGTTTGCCAAACGTGTGGGAATATTGCAGCATTTTCCTCCTGTGAAATATGCGGAACCATATTCAAATTTTAGAGTGGCTGGAGGCAAGATAGTTTAACTGAATATAATCATTATCTTAAACGGCGTTATGTAGTTAAACAAGTGCCAAGTCTGAATGGAAGCTTCAAAGAGGTGTACATACTTAAAGCATGTATTCGAGAGGTATGATCTCAAGGTCTTGCAAGTGCTGAAGAGAAAATGTGTTGATCGGTATTGTTAAGAAAGACCTTTTAAAAAAATACGAGCGTGGTGATTGTCACCATTGGTGTTACCATATCAGGTTGACAAGATGTGCTGGGCAGTTTCTGTTGGATTACTTTTGTAGGGTATAAAGATTTAAAGGTTCCATAGTTAATTTCGTATTTTTAAAACTTTCCAGTACATTGTAAATTCAGAACAAAATTCTTGATCTTGCAATGCAAGAGAATCGATATATGAGGGTATGTGGTCTATGTAGCTGTCATACACATACAGTTTCTGTCATGTATTTGGCTGCATTTCAAAGAAGTAAGCCTTCTGCTGGGGCTCTCAGGGCCATGTACTAACAGGTCTCCATGCTCAGCACTGCAGCCTCTCTTTGTGTGAAGTGGTGTGCTGGGTGGTCTGATCAGATCGCAGGTCAGATGCAGCTGGTCAGTCTGATATGCAAAGCAGAAGAGAGGCTATGACGGTTGCATTACAAACAGCTGCTGCAGCAAAGTCATTGAAAATGGGACTGGATCAGTCTCAGGTATAGCATATGAGAGTTGGCAGTCTGTATCTAATGCAAAGAGGTGGTAAAATTACTCTTCTCCGGTGTCTTCTTCAGCACCATAAGCAGCTATATGGCCGTTCTCTGAGGACAACTCATCTTTTCAGATGAGAGTGCAACAGGGAGGAAAGCAGAGTGTTACAGACTCGGAGCATAAGCAAGCTGGGTGGTTAGAACCAGCCAGGATAGTTTCAACCACGCACAAAAAGTTTTCTGACCTTCATCAGTTGTCTCTCTGTCACCTGATGTGGGACCCATGACATATTTAGTACCCCCATCTTCTGCTTTTTCTCTGGAGTTAATAACTTTTTCCTTACTTGTTTCCCTTTAGTTATTTTCATTTGGAAGAAGAACAGTGCCTATGACAATGGAGCAACAAATAAAAGTTACCCATATTAGTCTAGGTTCTATTAAAAAAATAGGTTTATAATGTAAATACAGTATGATTCAAATATTTATAATAATTGTTACAATATTGCTTGAAAATATTTTTGTATATGGGAGTAGGCCATTTTATCCAAATAATTGAGTCATTTGGCACATTTGATGCATACACCATCGTTGACTTATTCTTTGTATTTTTTGAGGTATTTTACTGGTTTAAATGCTAGAAGAAACAGAAGAAGTGCAAGACATTTTCACATAGTTTAACATTCATTTCACTAGCCTGGTGAGGTTTTGTGATAAGTTTCTAAGGGGCAAGAGGGGATTAAATAATGAAGCCTAACTGGCACGTAGTGCTTGGGTTGTTCAGTGCAACTTTAGTGTGATAGCTTCGCTGAAGAAAACTTGAGTGCCTACCACACAAAATCAATTATTTAAGAGCTCATTTGTATATAATTGCTTAGGGTGCTTATAAATTTTCCACGTAACAGAAATATTTTATAATAGAGGTTGGTTATAGAATTTGACCTCACAAAAATACTGCTTTTTTTCCTATTTTTGGAAAGGCTGTTAAGCTATTTTGCAACAAACTGCTTAACTTCTGAAACTATAAAATATCTAGAGGGCTTCCAATAGAAAGATGCAAAATAGTGTCATTCATAACAATAAGAAGTGTTCTGGTAGCTTCAGTCAAACTGATGAAAATACACACTTGGATTTTTCTTTTTTTGCCATCTTTCCCTTCTCCCTTGATTTAACAAATTCCTGTGTATGTAAAGGCTCATCTAGTAACCTAGGTATTTAATCTTAATTTAATTTAATACATTTATACAGTGGGTAACTGGGTATACCAACTTGCAGTCCTTTCAGTAATAAATACTATAAGAGATGCAACAGAGAATTCCCTAGGTAAAACACACAAAAATTAATTAATTGGATATTTGTTCCTGTTCCAGTACAGATTTTTTCTCAGTACTAATTTCACCAATAATATCTCCATAGTAGACACAGTCTATATATGTTTCTGTAATACTTTGCTTCAGCTGTAGAAGTAAATAGCCAGCAGAGGGAGCACAAATTAATTTATGATTTGGATTTTAAAAAATGCTAATAAAATGGCTAACACATTGGTGATGCTTATTGTGGAAAGCAAATAACAAATGAGTAATATGTTTATATTCAGTGAGGGACCAGAAGGAAGGCGAAAGTGTCTGAACATTTGAAACAAATGTTTTTCAGTTTCTGCAAGTGAACTGTAAATAAACTCTGATGAATTGAAACCATAAAATCACTTGATTTACAAATCCATCTGAAAAATGAGAATTATTTTTCACAACTTTCAGGTTCTCATAGTTAACCATAGATGCCTCCCCAAAATTTTGTGGTGGTTGTTAGTATTACAGAAGCTTTATGCTCTTGTTGATATTTGAATCAATAGCCTAATTCATTTAGACAGTAAGATGGTACTTTTGCTCTCTGGCTGAAGATCTCTCCTCTCTGGCAACCAGTGAGAAGACCCAGGAGAATGGCATGAAGATGTACCAGGGGAGGTTTAGGTTGGATATTAGGAAAAGGTTTTTCACTCAGAAGTGGTTGAACACTGGAACAGGCTGCCCAGGGAAGTAGTCACGGTGCCGAGCCTGAGAGTGTTCAAGAAGCATTTGGAGAACACCCTCAGACACATGGTGTTAATTTTGGGGTTGTCCTATGCAGAGATAGGAGTTGGACTCGATGATCCTTGTGGGTCCTTTCCAACTAAGGACATTCTATGATTCTGTGAATTCATTATGTGGTATTAGGAAGAACAGGCCAGGAGCTGTGTTCATATGATCACTCATGAAGTGAGACTGGGTTCGCTGCAGTGGCTCAAGAAAAGCAGCTGTAACATTCTTCTAACTTAGCTACCACAAAGCTCATCTGGTTTCATAAGACCTTTGGGAGGTTCTGCTCAAAACCATAATTTTGATCATGAGCTATAATTTGTATCTGTCACAGTCCAGAGGTCAGAACAGGATACTGGTCTACAAACAGAAGCGGCAACTGTATTTAAAGAATGAAAAATCACTTGTCGGGTCCACAAATTGATGAGGATGCTTAAACAGGCATTGAAGCAGATGAGCAGCACAATCTTTATGGCCGGAAAGAGGAAAAATCTAGTGTTTGGTATCTTTTAAAAAGGCTATCCAGTATCTGTATCTTTTTGCTAGTTTTTATGAGAGACTAAGCATTAAAAAGGATGGAAAAGAAGCCAAAGGATACAATAAGAAGAAGGTGTTTATTCTCACTCTGTTCGTGTTTTGAGCTGATAGGTGAAGAGGAAGACACTAAACTGAGGAAGAACATGAGCAATTATCATAGATTACTACTGTGGAAGAGGGAGGAAATAAAATACGAATGAAGTAAGAGAAGCATCCTTTTATATGCAGTGTGACTTGTATCTGAGCCAAAACATTTATGAATCTCAGTTTTATGACACTTTCACAATAAAGGTGCAATCTAATTAGGTGATAGCAGAAATTCAGATATCTCCATTCTTTCAGTAGGCTTGAACAGGAGGGGTTGGTCCCAGGAAGAGGACTGGCTACACAATAGAGCTGAGTATTCGGGAGAGTGTATATTGTGTGAAACAAAATATATTCAAATGTGTACCCATAGCCTTCTCCTCAAGAGGCTGTATTGCCATTCTCTTACCAAAAAAAATAGTCTATGCACTAGTGGTAGTTGTGATTGTGTGACACACGGTAACAAAATGCACTACTTTTAGTCTGGATAATAGAGAGAACACCAAGTGAGGAGCAATTTGCCATGACATGGTCATCTGTGATGATAACAGTTCGTTCTCTGTGGCTCAGGGGGCTAGGGTGTGAGGAAGCTCTTGCAGGAGTGGGATAGGGTAAGACCTGCTGTGCAGTGGGAATCTTCAAGATTTTACCTCCTTCAGTTTCAGGGCCACAGAGAGAATGCATGACATCCCAAGCACATACGTTAGACCAGACAGCGAGCTTTGTACCAGCTTGAGAGGGAAGAACAATGTTCAGGAAATGAAGCTGTTCCTTCCTTTATAGAATGATTTCAGAGAGTTCTATGGTCCACTTACTTGGTACACATGAAAAGAGGATCAGCTGGGCGCCTGTAGGATGTAATGGAGGCTTAACAGTTTTGTGAAATAGGTACTATTTTCTCTGTTTGATAGCTGATAACAAAAATACTACGTCTTTTTTTTTCCAGGAAATGTTTTCCTATCTGTCAAGTGAGCTGAAGAAGCTGGCAGATAACCACAATGAGAGACTGTTAGACACACCACATAATCCCATTTCCTTAGGTAATTGTTGGGTTTTATTTTTTTAAAAAAATCTAATATGCTTTACATTTATAATGCACTTTCACATACAGTTCCTATATATTAAACACTGTACACTACACTCCATTAAATTGTTCTTAGACTGATATTAAATGATTGAACCCAATAAGGTAACCTACTATAAAAGTAGAGTAGTGACATGGGCCCTTTATTTTTTTACAAAATTGCTCCTGTCCAACATACTCATTTATTGTAATCAAGGCAGGCAGAAGATGTTAGCATGCAATAGTACTTTCTGAAAGAGTAGATTTAAAAATAAATTAGGGTATAATTATTTTACCCAGCATCTTATAGTGCTTTAAAAGAGATTACGGAATTCCTACTCAAGGTATTTGTTCTAACGAAAAATTCTGCTGAACACCAAAGTAATATTGCCTACCTGTGCAGAATCTGTCTTACAGGTAGTCTAACCAAAGAATTAATCTATGACAACTGTGGGAAAATTAAAAATTATGAAATGTAGTATTCATAGTTCTTTTTTTCTTTATATCTGAACACAAATATTTGGCTAGATTTTTATTGTTGGAAAACAACTTGTCCTCTGTGGTGGTTCTTTGGAGAAAAAGAAGCTTTGAAATAGTTCTAACCTGACCTTTTGTTACTTTAGCCATGTCACTGAAGGATCTGGATGAAAATAATGATGATGCTGTTACCCAGCTTGGATCTATGCTTTTCACAAGACAAGTTTCTGGAGCAAGGTGAGGATGCTATGAATTTGAAAAATTTAGAGGGTTGTATTAGCATATATTTTATGAATTCCTATAATATTTGTTTTGTACCAGTTGTCTAATGATTACAGATTACAGTCTGACAATAAGAAGTCAGAGAGTAATACACCCTTCTTCATCACTGTTATCTACTAATAATGTCTACCTGCCTGAGTTAGCAATGAGGCCCCCTTTGTTAGCTTTGGTAGGCTAAATAGATAATCTGTGCCCATTTAATTTAGTGTTGTTATTCCCTAGTACCCCTTGGTTTCATTTAGTTTCCAGCTGTTGTCTGATCTTACAGTTAAGTTGTAAGCTACTTAGGGAAGATTTTTGTTTTGTTTATTGCAGCACAAATATGGTTGTGCTAGATGTCAGGGGAATAAGCTGTTAATACCCTACATAGCTTTTTGTCATATGGAAGAAAATCCTGCTTTCTGGAACTAACTGTGTTTAAAAAAAAAAAAAAAAAAAAAATTTAAAATCTACAACTTGAGCCAGTCTGAGCTGAATTTATTCATAGAGACACTGGTACATGGAAATGCAAGCCAAATAATTTTTAATTGTTTTGATTTAAACCTTTTAGAAGAAGAGAATGATTTAAAATTTGGTTTGGCAGGATTCCTTAATCTGAATATTACTGCTGCCATGCTAACTTCTGCCATAGACTTAATGTCATTTTTTTGTAGCAGAGCTGAATGTTTCCACATCAGAAGGTATGCTTCATTAGCTTGGATTATTCCACTTCCTGCACAGATGAATGACAGTAAATCTATATGTACTGTAGTTAGATGCTCTTTTTAATTTGCCTGTCCTAACCTTGGCTTGTCCTGCAATTCCAGCCATCTTTGGCTGAAATGATTCAAGAGGTTCGATTATTGAAGTTAAAATTCTCCAATTCTCTGCCTGATAGAAAAGTTTCAGGTTTTTCGGTTTTTTACATAAGCAATTAATTCTTCTGTAGTGTGTACACTGTTTGACCTGGCTTTTCAACAGATTTTAAATGTTACGCTTGTGCTGAATGTTAGTGGTAGGAATAGCAACTCCCTACTTCGCTAGCATACAGGCTTTTGCATAACCTGTGGTGAGAGCACTTGGACAGAGGAAGGATCTACGAATCCTAGTGGTATTTGTCTGAATGCAATTTCTTTTATGAACTGCAGGGAGTGTCTCCATAGAGGTAGTAAATTCTTATCAATTGATTGACATTAACTGCTTGTGTAGGATTTAACTATATCCAGAAGGTGAGTTGTTCCTTTAACAAGTAAGGGTGTGGATTAGGGTTTTTATTTATCGGGGAATGGATATGTACTGAAAGTGCTGATAAATAGGGTGTAATAGGTAGAGGTTCTTAGTACGAGGAAGAGGTAAAAGTGGTGGCAAAAAGTATCACCGACAAGGACGGAATGAATATGAGGTTAACATCATAGGATGGGGGAAAAGGGAGATGCAGTAGAGAGGAAGGGATGGGAAGAAGTTGGGATCCTGAGCCCTCTGAATCACCTGAACCCAGACTTTTTTGGACTGCAGCACACCATGCCAAGCAGATGTCTGCGCTAAGGCTGCTGGTCAGTATGGTGATCCCAGGGAGCTCAGGGTCACCAGGTTGCCTAAGGAGGGGTGAACTGGCCCAGCTCAGAGACAGAGCAGGTCAGATAGGGCTTTTTATGGAACAGGAAAGTTTGCTGCAGATGTCTTTTCCTCACACGCTTGGGGAGTTCATAAATACCAATAGTAAAGACTGTAAAAATTTAACTGAAGAGGGGAAGGGACAGATGCATATGCACACAGACTTCAGCTAATTCAGAATCTGCTGCTACTGTCACTCATAGTGATGCTTGGGCACTAACTTGGAGAATGCCTGATCTAAACCTGCTTACATTAATTTGTTTAGAGTTAGCAGATACTACACTGTTATAGGAATTTGTGTAAATGTGTTCATCATAGGGTATCACATAAAATATCCAAGGCATCTTTAACTGAATCATAATTCTGTTTGTTTGTTTCAGGGTTGTTCCCTGTGGGTCTGTGCAAACAGTGAATAACTACACTTTTAAAGGCTTTATGTCACATGCAAATGACTATCCCTGTGCTTACCTCAATGCTGCCTCAGCAATTGGAATTAAAAAGCAAGATGTAGATATATTCCTAAAAAGACTCGACAAGTGTTTGAAGACTTCTAGAAAAGAAGCAAAGAAAGAAAAAAGTGTAAATGAAATAAGTAATTCTAATACAGGCACAGAACAACTTGAAGACTAGAAGATACAGATTTAGTAACACAGGAAGATACACTTTTGTTTGAAGTATGTCAGGTTTGTATTGGGTTAACGTGAATCTGCAGTGCAGAAAATTTTATTCCTGATCTGAAAACAACAACAACAAAAAGTTAGGTGAAATTCAGCTTTAAAGAAAGTAGGTGATATTCTCTCCAAGACAGAGGGACAGATACAAGTCTTTTTGCAGCATATAAATGCACTTAATATCTGCCAAGGTAAAGCTTTACATTCATAAAGACCTTGAGTTGGCCTTTCAGTCTGTGGGTCACTGTTTGGACCAGTGTTCAGCAAATCACAGAATGCTTATTCACACATTTTTGATTAACAAGATTTCCTGTGGCAGTGATGGAGTTCCTTCCTAGGTATAGACCATCCAGCAGGAAATGTTTCACTGTTTTCAAAATATCTCGTTTCTCATAAGCATACTTGCCACTTTTCGTTTCTTTTCAATGATTTATATAAGTGTTGGACTAGCCCTTACTAAATACAATGTTAAAACTGCATGGGGAAATGATAGAGTTGGAACAGTAGTGTTTTCAGGTGCTCTCACCTCTCAAGAGCTGCCTCGAACAAAGCAGCCCTCAGTGGCAAAAAAAACCCCTAGAATACCTCATATCCTGTCAGTACTCAGCTCTTGAAAGCATTTGCATAGTTCAGCAACCCAAAGGAATTTTAAAAATTAAAGCAAGGGGTTATGGAGTGGAGAGGTACAGTCATCTTTTTTCTTTCCCTTTTTTCCATTTCATCTTTTATTTGATAGGACTATCAGGTCAGAGACCCACTGAAAAGGAGGAATGCCTTGTGGGATTAGTGCAACAGTTTCAAGAGCCAGTGAGACCTGAGAATATTTTGGTATTTTTAGTCCAGTCCTGTTAAAATTTATAGACTTCTATTTCTGAAGTGACTCTTGCCATTGGCACTGTTGCTTCTGTAGCTGTGTGCAGTTGCTGATTTGAATTCATTAAGCAAACAATAGATTCAGAGTCTGTTCCCGAAACAAAGGTTCCATATCACTGGAGTGACAGTGCTGTAGGTTGCAAAACTTTTAACTATTCTTAAATGCAGTTACTACATTGTATATAGTTTTTATGTCATATACTGTTCAAAATGAGCTTAATGTTCAAAGACATTTTCTTTGCCTGTCTGTGATGTAGTAATACTTGGGACACCACCATTAATGAGTTCTAAGTGTCAGGAAGTACTCGAACTGTTCTGTTTGGTGGGATCTGAGACATGTATCCTTTAGAGCCCTCTGTAAATTGCTTAATCAAAATAGTGGTGGTTTTGAAAGGATTGTCTATCCAGTGTGTTCAAATTAATTGATACAAGCGCTGATGTTAATATGGAGAAGATAATAGTATGCTAATCATCATGAAGGTGCTGTCACTCAGTGAGGTCCATTGTATTTTAAGCTTAAATTGAACTGCTGTCTCTACATTCTTATTGCTACAGTTACACGTTAGATTGATTAAAGCTTGTCAAGGTATGACTCCCCGGACTGTAGTCACAGTTGTTATTTGCTGTATAAACACATCCTAGGAGAAACGTAATATAACTTGGCCACTGAGTCCTTGTAGCTATAAGGAAATGTAAATTTCTTTACTTTGTCTCTCTCAAAAAAAACCCCCCCCCCCCCCCCTTTTTTTTTTATTAAGAGTGTGCTATACCTCAGTTTTTCCAGTCAGTAAAGCTCTTCCACAAGCTTGGGAGCCAAAACTCTGCAGCTCACTGCCTCAGCGTTCTGTATATTGGAGCAGCCAGTGAAAACCGCAAGGCCTTAGTAATACCTCTCTTCCTCGTTTTCGATATCGTCGTTCTGTGCCTGAATGAGTATAAATTATTGGTTTAGATGACTAGTCACATAATATGAACATTAGAACTATTGTTACGAGAGTTTAGGGAGGTGTATGGTAGCAGCTAAAATAAGTATTTGATGAATAATGTCCTGAAAACGAATAAAGAAAACAGCAGTTGCCTTCTCTTGGAGGAAGAAACCTCTACATTTTATGTTCTCATAATAAATTGTCTGCTGCAAATAATTCACTCACTTCTACTATAGATTGAACTGCTTTCTCAGGTAGTGTTTTTCCTGTGTTCAAAATGTTTCCCATTTGAAATCAAAGCTGAAAATTGCAACAAATCTCTATAAACAAGTATCCAGGGAAAGAATTAAGTGATTTATTCTGATTTTGACCTTTTAAACCTTTTTTTATTTAAAAAAAAAAAAAAACAAAACAAAACATTTTAAGATGATGGCTTTACTTGCAAAAAAACCCCACATTTTTAATTTGTGTGTCATTACATCTCTTTGCAAATCTTAGTGATGCCACCTGAAGTTAGGAAATTTAAAGTATTTTGAGAAATATGTCCCATAGTGTTTATAAACTCTTGAACTAAATATTTCTGTTTTGTTACTTTGGTAAGCTGGTGTACCAATTTTCAGTTTTGTTTGCTTGTTTGTCCCCTTAAATGTCTTCAGTTAATACTAAATTTTTAGAGACAGAAGCATTATATAGTGTTATTATAAATATAATGACATTTAAAATAATTTGAATGGCAATATACTTTCAAGTGTATGGAGAAGAATTGGTTATTTAGGAGATTCAGTGGATAAGAAGTATTTTTCAAGGAAGAGTATAAATCACTTATTCTCTATTCACTAATATATATAATAAAGTAGTGAAATAATATTGGAACATACACCAATGATCAGAGTTTTCATTTCCTTTGTGTAACAGATATGGGGAGATTTCATGGCTATGGCAGGTCTCACCCACTAAAAGTAGTACTGTGAAAGATAGCAATAGTGTGGACATAGATTTGTCAAACTATATTTAGTCAGTCAAATATATTAACAACATTTGCCTTCTATTGAGATCTTTCTAAGATTGTACAGTGAAGTAAGGAGCTTCTTAACTTAATTAACTGTGCGGTCCTTTTCCTAATCTCTGCATAGGCACATGTTGCTAAAGGCTTCCACATACCTCAAAAAACTCTAAGGGCCAACTCTCTGTCTCCAGCATCCACATTACTGGTGACACATCTAGGAAGGCTGCCTGGGCTTCAGAATACACGTGGGGTTTGTGCAGCAAGGATCCTTAGTAGAAGCACCGAGAACAGATGCCCACTTAGTACAGCCATCTCACAGCTACTCTGTAGGTAGCTGCCCATCTCTGTCATCTTCTAGGTCACAGCATGTTACCAGCCGTGAAACAGGAATGGGCAAGCACTTGAACTATTCCAGAAGAACTGAGGATTCAGAGAGAGAAATCGGGAGGTTACCATTCTTGCTACCTAGTCTGCTGCTCTGCCAAGAGTTACTGCCCTGTAGCAGAGGTAGCAAAGCGATCTGTCCGCTCAGAAGGTGCCAGTGTTCATACAATGTATTAACAAATACTGAAACTGAGGTGTGTTTGAGCATTGCAGGTATGAAAAACAGTGGCTGTAGAGCTAGCACATCTCCCATTCTGCTTCTGCAGAACGTGTGTTCCGTGGATACCTGCTCCAGAAGACAGTGGCATTTGGCAACCGGGCAGGGTATGTGCTTATGCAGAGACCCCTCAGATTGCTGCAGTTTGAATTGCCAGAGTGACTTTCCTTCCTTATGGTGCCTGTAACTGTTCTGTGAGATGCTTTTCTTTCTCTCTGATACTACATCTTATGCTATCTGAAGCAGATGGACTTGCCTTATAAAAATAGCACTAGGATAATACAGTGCAAGCAAACTGACACTGAATGACCCATCTCACAGGCCCACTCTTAGTTTACTTCTTTTGTAGTATCTGAGATAATGAACAAAACGAAGGACTGTTTGAGCAATAATACTGCCTTTTCACACTTTGTTCGTAACGATTGCCTAAGATACAAAGCAAATAAAATCTACCAGATGCAGCAAATTCTCTTGAGCCTAAGAAAGCAAAATTGTAATGTTGCAAATGTAAATGCTGGCATTGCAGCTTAATACACATATAAACTGAGCAATCTATATTGTGCCATCATCATTTTTTAAGAAAGGCTGGAGCCCAGAGACTAGCAAATGTTCTCATCTGCAGTGTATCAGCAGTTCTCAGTCTTCAGCTGCTGTATAGATAATAATTCTAATTGAAGAATCATTACATGAATCCATATGTGAATGATAGATGGGCTATAGCCATTTGTTCATGATGGTTTAAATATTGAGTTGCTGTTTTCACTTTTATTAGGGGTGATTAGATTGCCGCCTTCTTTCTTTTTTTTTTTTTTAAATGCAACATTTTAATCAACCTGGCCTGACAGGATTTGGAATCTGAAGGAAAAAACAATTTCTGTAGCTGACAATTTTTTTTAAACAATAGCTATTTAAAGGCTTGAATTGGTTACAAAGTGACTCTCCACAGAGAGAACCTTTGTTCAAATGTTTTTAATTCTGAAACTAGTCCTTGAAAAATTGTGCTTTATGTGCTCTGTAATAATTGTTTTTCATGTATTATGCTTTTTTCCCTCAAAGATAACAGCACACACTTTAGTGCAGTTTAAGAATTCTTTTTCAAAATCGTACTTAAAAAGGCATTTGCTCTGTCACTCATCCAGCAGCTGTCATATCAAAGAACTAGTAATATATTTATCTTGATGGATAAGCTTCAGTGTTCTGGACCAAGTTCAGTGTAACTGGACCAAGTTTTCAATACTCCTTTGGGGATCCTAAAGTCAAGTTCATGATCTAATTAAGATTGGTGTGATAATTATATCTGCTGCTGAACAGGAGTCTTTCATCATGCCACATTTCAACTAAATTCTTTAGTGTGGCATCAAAGCTGATCCAGTTCAGAAGCTGAATTGCTTTCTTAACATAGGTGGTGAAATTTAATTTGCCTTTAGATCCTGGATTCAAATCCAGGGAGTCAGCTATAGCAAAATGAGAACTGCTTTATTTTAACCTAATGTGAATAGAAAGAATACAGTGGTTTCATCTGGGTGCTACCTTTCCTATTACTTTTTCTCAAAGAGCGGCAACCATCTTACACTTACTGCTGGCTGGGGCGGGGGGAAGTTGGTCTTGTACAAATAATACGACAGCAACAGAGGTGTGTGCGTTATTAATCTTTCTCTAGGCATCCCAAGCAGGAACACACCACTTCATTGGGAATTCAAAACAAACATGTAGT